AATTATTTATTTATTTATATTTATAATTTATAATTTTTCTTTGGGGGGGGGGTAATGAATAGTACAAATGGACAATATAAGGGAATACTACGAGTAGTTATTCCGACCCCTATACCATCTCCTCGCACGTAAGAGCTCGCAGAACCACCCTTGGCCCAACGGAGGGCTCCCGAAATCATAGGTTCCTACCACGCTTTAGGGCGCCATTCCTCAACCGAAAGCCCCCCACACCCGAAGGGAAGACCTAAGGTTTCGGGTTTAGGGTTCAGGCATATCCCAAGACGCGAAATGCTAAGCAAGCCCTGATGCTGGGACCACAGGCACTACCCGCAAAGTACACATCCCCATCGCGCCAGGTGGCCCTCCACCCTGCCCTGAGACCCTATAAACCCTAAACCCTAAACCCTAAACCCTAAACCCTAAACCCTAAACCCTAAACCCTAAACCCTAAACCCTAAACCCTAAACCCTGCCTGGCCTGTTGATACGCAAGAGTTTGCAGACTGATTTTCTTGTGACCTGGGTTGCAGGAGGCAACAAAGCCCGAGTCACAAGTTGCAGAGGACTACCTGGACCTCTACATACATACAGTTTATCGTAACTAAACTTATCGTACGTAGAACCCATAAAGCTGTAGGTATAGAGGGTCCAGGGTAAAGGAACCCTGCATGTATGGTCCATACGGGGGTTTCCGAAATTCGGGGTACCTTCTCTTGAGGTCCTTATTCTAAGGGTCCGACTATTTAGGGTCTATTTTCGGGGTCCCTGATTTTCGTAAACCCCCATATGCCTTAGCCGGGATTATGGTAGCGGAGGGCATGGCGCAGCCTTAGGGGTTAATTAGGGTCTTGTTTTTTTTTTTTTGGGGGGGGGGGGGGGGGGGTTACATAGGTACGGTACAATAGGGGTTTATAAAAAGGGGAATAAGATGAAGGGTCTCTTCTAGGGGTCCCCTCCTTTTACCCCTTAAAAAATGGCGCAGCTTTTGGTGTTCTCCTTGGCTACTTGGTGGCTTGGTAGAAGTGCGGGGATTTCGGCCTGCCATGGTACTTGCATCTACATGGCCGTGATGTGATGGTGAGTGTGTGCATGTGCGCGTGTTCCTCCTAAACCCTAAACCCTAAACCCGAAAACCAACCCTGCACCCTAAACCACTACCACCCTAAACCACCTATGCCAACGGGCTTCCAAAGGGCTTCGTCAAAGGGTCTACAGCTCAGAGTCTAGAAACTGCCTATATCACCATTCAAGAATGGTGTGGGGAAATGCTTGCCTTTTGTGAGTCTTAACTTACACTTGTATGTACATATGAATAGTAGAACATCATATAGCAGAATATGATATCATATGAACACTTAATATCAGAAAAGATAAGGTAATATTTCGATAAGATGTCAGCGTCTACTAGAATACAGAATACTTGTATATATATATATATGTATATATTGGGTGGCTGTCAATATTCCTTCTTCCAGGAACGGCGGATGCTGAAAAACTCATGGTGCCGCCTTATGCCGAGAAGGAAAACGAAGGTCTGGAACGATGGCTTTGGCAAGTACAGAAGTGTAGTACTAATTCTTGTACCCTATGCAAAAGCCTCGCAAAACACACTAGCGCCTTCATTTCAAGACTCAAGCATCGTCTTCGGAACTACTGGAGCTACTTGAACTCGAGCTAGTAGTGTTAGAGCTATCGCTTAGCGATGTAGCACAAGCGCGTAGCTTTTTTCTTCGGCCTCCTTGCTCAGGATATCCCCTGCCAGCTCTTCCCGGTTGGCCATGCTTCAAATCAGCTGTCTTAGTACTGCCTTATGTCTTGGATGGGCAAGTGGTCGCCGCAGGCAGTTTCCCTTGATATTTGCTAGCGCGATGCTAGCGCCAACCTAGCGCATATTTCGCCTCATGAATTTAGAGTTTTGGCACGCCGGCAGTATGCATCAGGAGCAAACACTGCAGCGATGTACCTCCCACTTAATCCTGAAGCCTGTACTAGAATTGAGGGTTAGGGTCTAGGGTCCCCGCTTTTTCCCTAAACCCAGAAAGCCCCGAACCCTAGACCCTAAACCCCAAGCATGAAACCCCAAAGCCTCTCACATCCCTAAACCCTAACCCCTAAACCCTAAAATGTTAGCCTTTGGAAAGGAACACCTAGCGCCACGCTAGCGCTATCCTAGCGCCTACATGGGGGAGAGCCGGAAACCTGCATATACGCATGGTGCCGCCTTGTGTATGTGTATATTATACACATACATTGTACGTATATGCATGCATTTGTGTGCTTATAGATCCCATGAAGGCCGCCCGTCATGGGTGGGCTTAAAGATCGGGGTGTTTTTTTATGCAAGCAGGCCTTGTGCTCCTAAAGCTGAAGTCGTCAATCCCTACATCCCGAAGCATCCCAAACCCTAAACCCTAAACCCTAAACCCTAAACCCTAAACCCTAAACCCTATTTGCTGAAGCACCAAAAACTCCTAATTCCCACAGCCCAAGCCCCAAAAGCCTCTAAGCCCACAGCCTGAGCCCTAAACCCTGAGCCCTATAAACCCTAAAACCTTTAAACCCTATAAACCCTATAAACCCTATAAACCCTATAAACCCTATAAACCCTATCAACCCTATAAACCCTATAAACCCTAAACGCTGGAACTTAAACCTTCTGAGGCGTGGGCTCGCATGAAAGATGAGCAAAAGACCTGGGTGCGCAGTTCGTGCAAGGTTGGGAGAGGGGCAGGGGGTGCGGGGGTTTTAGGGCTTAGGGTTTAGGTTTTTGGGGCTAAAGGTTCAGGGTTTTGGGGTTTTAATTATTTTAGGGCTTTCGGGTTTAGAAACCCTAAACCCAACACCCTAAACCCTACCATTCCGCTTGATTGCTCAAACTTTAACCTCAAATCCAGAAATCCTGAAACAGTCCAAGACGCCTCAAAACCTGCGGTATGGACCCTAATGCCCTAATCCCTCTCCCAAATCCTTAAAACACGATAGACCGACTTCCAAACACCCCAAAATATAAGACAGGAAATCAACAACCCCCGCGCCCCCAAGCCCGACGTCAAGGGGCAAAAACTCAAACATTGCCCGGCCCAATCAGTTCAATCACAAACATTCCTTTGAGTGGACTCGGACTCTCTCAACCCAAAAGCCCTAAACCACTCTCCCACCGAAACAAAACCGAAACTCCGAATACTGATAACCTAGTACTGATAGCCATTATCACCCTAAACCCTAAACCCTAAACCCTAAACCCTAAACCCTAGACCCTAGATCCTAAGCCCCAAACAACCGACCCTAATCAGCCCCTACCCCAATTTCCCATAGTGATGCCAAGTACCCTCCTGAACCTATTTACCCCCCGACCATCATCCTAAAACCAAAACCCGGAGGCCCCAAACCCAGAATGCCAATCCCCTAAACCCTAACCCTAAACCCTGAACCCTAAACCCCTGAAGCCCTACACCCCTCAAGCCCTATACCCGCAACCCCAACAACCCCGAGACCCCCAAGCTAGCGGAGGTTTAGAGTTTAGGGTTTAGGGTTAGGGTTTAGGAATTAGGGATCTACACATTAAACCTCAACCACCCATCCATAAAACCATAACCCGCCACCCCCACCACCACCACCGCCGCCACCACCACCTCCACTTCGAACATCCTAAACCCTCTAAACCCTCTAAAGCCTCTACACCCTCTATACCCTCTAAACCCTCTAAGCCCTCTAAACCCTCTAAACCCTCTGCACCCTCTGCACCCTCTAAACCCTCTAAACCTTCTAAACCCCTCTGTACCCTAAAACCTAAACCCTCTCAACCCTCTAAACCCTCTAAACCCCCTTAACCCCCCTTAACCCTCTGAAACCCTCTGAAACCCTCCGAAATCCTCTGAAACCCTCCGAAATCCTCTAAACCCCCCCACCTAGAACGTCCTTGCGGCGGAGGGGCGCACCCGCCATGATCTCAAACGTCCCAACGGCGGGTCGACGCGACTTTGGGGCCCCAGAGCCGAGAAAGCCGAGGAAGCCGGGATGTGTGGAAAAAAAAAGAAAGAAGCAGAAGTAGAAGGGTTTAGGGTTTAGGGTTTAGGGTTTAGGGTTTAGGGCTTAGGGCTTAGGGCTTAGGCTTCTAGCTTCTAGGGTTTAGGGTTTAAGTAGGGTTTAAGGAGGGTTTAGGGTTGACCCTCAGCAAAGAATGCATTGAACTATAGCCAAGTCTGTGGAAACATCTGCAGCGCGCTGCAGATTCTTCGACCGACACTTCTAAACCCTAAACCCTAAACCCTAAACCCTAAACCCAAGAACACATGGAACCTGGGGCCCGCCCTAGAAAAGACTGCGTGAAGCCCGAAGCCTGCAAACCGGAAATCCTGAAACCCGCAATATCCCAGAATCTCAGCACCCCAAAATCCTTAAAGCCCTCCCCTAAAACCCTTGAAGTCCCCCCAAAAAACGTCTAAAACTCTAAAGCCCTCGGCCCGAGAGGATTTGAAACCCAAGTTACATGGTGGCTTCATATGGGCCCTGAAAAGGGGGAACCTAAACCCTAAACCCTAAACCCTAAACCCTAAACCCTGAACCCTAAACCAAAAACCCTGAACCCTAAACCCCCAAAAAAAACGCAGAGGGCCCATACTTCAGAACCCTTTTGAGGAAGGTAAGGGGTAACCTAGGAATAACCAGGAGTGCCCATGTTGGTTTAAAGGGCCTATATCAGGGAGCCTAAGCCCTTAGATCTAGGGTTTAGGATTTAGGGTTTAGGGTTTAGGGTTTAAGGTTTATAGGGTTTAGCTGAGGCCTAGGTTTCTTTTTGGTTCCGCTCCGGTCGTGGATGCCTCATTCGCACAGCCTGGCGGTTGTGCCAAGGGCTTGCTAAGCCTTAAACCCTACACCCCCTACACCCCCTACACCGTAAACCCTAAACCCTAAACGCCAGAGCCTACAGGTAACCAAGCCGCCGACGCCCCTTCTTTTTCGCCCCCCCCCGGCAGCCAGTCTCCTCTTGCTCCTGCTGGCTCACAGGTCCTGGCACGCGCACCGGTTTAGGGTTTAGGGTTTAGGGGTTGAGGGGCTTCGGGTTTAGGGTTTAGGGTTTAGGGTTTAGGGTTTAGGGTTTAGGGTTTAGGGTCCGGGGGGGCTCAAAGCTTTGGCTGCAACCAGCACATCCACCAACTACCCAGAAGTGCGCTCCGGTTTGGGGGATTTAGGGTTTAGGGTTTAGGGTTTAGGGTCTCGGGTTCAGGGTTTAGGGTACACAGAGCCTATTCTAGAAGAGGGTTCTTGGGCGTCTTAGGGGTGTAGGGGTGCTCACATCTCCACTGACCATGAGGTGCCTGGGACATCATGCTCTCGCCAAAGCCACTCCTGGGCATTTGGGGCTGGGTTTGGGCTTATGGCTTATAGGGTTTGATAGGGTTGATAGGGTTTATGGGGTTTATGGGGTTTATGGGGTTTCTAGGGTTTATGGGGTTTATAGGGTTTATAGGGCTTATAGGGCTTAGGGTGGGTTTAGGGGTTAAGTTTCCGGATAGAGCGGTCTTGCAAGGCACTGGCCACAACGAGTTTACGATTCAAGGCTCAATGCTCCGGCGCGCCGGAGCCCCTGCGTAGCACCCCAACATCAACTGAGAACAAGAAAGACACCTTATAAACCCTATAAACCCTACAAACCCCATCACCCTTATAAGCCCTATAAACCCTAAAAACCTCTATAAACCCTAACAACCCTGCAAACCTTATAAACCCTACAAACCCCAAAAACATATCGAGGTTTAGGATTTACAGGGTTCGGAACTTGGGGTTTACCTGGACCTCTATTTACCTACAGTTTAGTAGTAACAACCCCCTAATTAGCACGTAGGCATAGCCAAAAAAAACTGCAGGTAAAGAGATGCCTAAACCCTAAACCCTAAACCCTAAACCCTAAACCCTAAACCCTAAACCCTAAACCCTAAACCCTAAACCCTAAACCCTAAACCGGTTTAGGGTTTAGGAACAAACGTGATCGACCGAGGCGCGAGGAGTAGGCCGAGCCTTGCGATTGAGATGTGCCACCACCCTGCTTCCGCAGGTTCTTGCCCTTCCTGCGGTTCAGGGGGTCGGGTTTAGGGTTTGGGGTTTAGGGTTTAGGGTTTCGGGTTTAGCGCTTAGGGATCAGGGTCTTGCCCTGCAGGGCTTGGAGTGTAATGCTTCCTAAGCCCTCAAGCCCGAAAGTGCCTAAGTCCCGACATACTGGATCCCACCTCCCAAGCCCGGAGCCCGAATCAAAGGGTGCAAGAGGCACGAGCTTCAAGCGATAGGTCCCCAACCTCCTATATGCCGGACTCCTGCACAGCCTAGATAGTAGTCTCTGAAATTAGGGGTACCTTACTTATTGGGGTCCTTATTAAAATGAGAATCCTACAAATTGGGGGGGTCTGTACGGGGTCCCCTATGTTCGTAACACCCTAGATCGAAAAATCCTACGAACCCTAAATCCCTAAACCCTAAACCCCAAACCCTAAACCCTCAACCCCACACCCCAAACCCCAACCCGAAACCCCAAGAAACCCTAAACCCTCAAACATAAACCCTAGCCCTAAACCCTAAACCCTAAGCCCTAAACCCTAAGCCCTAAACCTTAAACCCTAAACCCTAAACCCTAACCCCTAAACCCTAACCCCTAAACCCTAAACCCTAAACCCTAAACCCTCAACCCTCAACCCTAAACCCTAGCCCTAAACCTCAAACCCCAAACCCCCAAACCGCAAACCCTGAACCCTAAACCCTAAACCCTAAACCCTGAACCCTAAACCCTAAACCCTAAACCCGAAACCCCAAACCCTCGGCCTCTTGGAGCGATCCATGGAGGCCTGGCTGCGCTCGCTGCGTTGCGAGGCGGACAGGCTCCCGCTCTGGCTGTACCTGGGGTTTAGGGTTTAGGTTTAGGGTTTAGGGTTTGAGGTTTGAGGTTTGGGGTTTGGGGTTTAGGGTTGAGGGTTTAGGGTTTAGAGTTTAGGGTTTCGGATTTGGGGTTTAGGGTTTAGGGTTTAGGGTGCCTCAAAGTGTTAGTACTAAACTGGTACCGGCTTGTTCTTTGAAAACTGAGGGCTTAGGAAGACTCGCTATTTTTGGCTGGAACCACTTTTGGCCGTTTGGGGTTTAGGGTTCAGGGTTTGTTCGAATGGTCTTTCGACATAAAACCATTCGGGCTTCATACATCAGCATAGAAGTGAGGGTTTAGGGTTTAGGGTTTAGGGTTTAGGATTTATTGTCTAGGGTTTAGGGCAATCCGTTTTTTTTTGTGGGGCGGGGGGGGGGGGGGGGGTTCCCGAAAGCTCCTTTAAACGGGATTTTGCCAGAGAAGTCTCTTCAAAGGGGAAGGTGTAGCCCCCTAAACCCTAAACCCCCGAAACTCCTAAACCCTAAACCCTAAACCCTCAAGCCCTTACCAAACAAGGAAGCCACCTTCTGGCGACCTTGGGGAACCTAAGTCCCGAACCCTAGGCCACAAACCCCAAAAACCTCAAAACCCCTAAGCCCTAATGGAAACGAAAGATAGCAGCCGTTCCTTTGTTCTCTGAGGACATTCTACAGGTTCAGGGTTTCGGGATGTTTTTTCCGTGTTTAGGGTCTAAGAAGGGGGTGTTCAGGGTGCGCTTCAGGGCTTAGGGTGTCTTGCAGTTTTGCCATGGTTTAGCGTTGCGGCATTTAGTTAATGCGATGAATTACTAGCGTTACCAAAACGCAGCGCTCAGTTCTGCTTTTGCATATTTAAAGAACTACTGGGCTATTCTCATTCCGACCATCGTTACAGTTAGTACTACTATAGTAGCAGACGAGGATTTGAACTAAGATTCACGCCGTCATCCAAAAACGGAGTATTTTCTTTATCCACTACATGCTGGCCTGGCTTGGTGGGGTACCTTGGTGTGGTAGCTTGGTGTGGTAGCTTAGTGCGGCGATAAATATATATATATATATATATATAGATATATTGATATATTGGTTGATTAATTAATTAATTTCGGCATGTAATTGTTTACTTATGTATCTACCTATCTATTTCTATTTGTTTACATATCTATGTATTTGTTGATGTCTTTCTTTCGGGCTTATCAGGGTTGAGTTGGGTCATCATCCTTTACGAGCCTAAACCCCTCAAACCCTAAACTCAACGGACCCAAACCGTAAGAGCGCAGACTAGGCCTTTTTGGCACCCTAAGCTCCAAACCCTGAACCCTAAAACCCGAACCCTCTGAACCTTGAACCCTAAACTCGAAACCTGACCTTGAATCCGACACTGAAATCTTGAACCCTAACCCCTTAACCCTAAACCTTGAACCTTCAACCCTAAACCTTGAACCCCAAGCCCAGAACCCTAAACCCTAAACTCCAGACCCTAGACCTTGAACCCTTAACCTTGAAACCTAAACCCCAAACCTTTAAACCCTAAACCCTAAGCCCTAAACCCCAAACCCTAGACCCTAAACCCTAAACCCCCTGAACCCTAAACCCTGAACCCTGAACCCGTAAGCCGGTTGTGAAGCCGCGGCACATGGACGGGCCATTGAAGTACTTCGAGGGGGCCTTGTCACAGCTTTGAGGGGTCAGGGCTTAGGCCGGGTTAGGGTTTAGGGTTTAGGGTTTAGGGTTTAGGGTTTAGGGTTTAGGGTTTAGGGTTTAGGGTTTAGGGTTTAGGGTTTAGGGTTTAGGGTTTAGGGTTTAGGGTTTATGGTTTCGGGCTTAGCCCCCGAAGCCCCAAGACAACCGCCAGGATGCCAATGCCCCAAGAAACCTGACAGCCCCTCGAAGCCTCAACCGTAACGGCCTAACTTAGAGGGTTTTCGGTTTCAGGGCCTAGAGACCCCAAGCCCTGAAACCCCCGGAAGCACAGGAGACTCAAGTATCCCTAAACCCTAAACCCTAAACCCTAAACCCTAAACCCTAAACCCTAAACCCTAAACCCTAAACCCTAAACCCTAAACCCTAAACCCTGAACTCGTCGGTGCAGCGGGGGTGCCTGGACGGGCGCCATGGACTGGGCCATCATGCCGGGCCCCATCCCTTGCGAGTCTATTCATTTAGGGTTTAGGGTTTAGGGTTTAGGGTTTAGGGTTTAGGGCTAGGGTTTAGGGTTGAGGGTTTATATTTCGGGTTTAGGGTTTAGGGCTATTTAGGGTTTATCGAAACCTAAACCGAAAACCCCAAACCCTAAACCCGGACCCTGAACCCTGAACCCTAAACCCGAAGAGTTCAAGGGCTTCAGGGTTCAAGGGTTTGAGGGTTCCGGGGTTAGCAAGTGGGTATTAGGGCTTAGGGTTTTTTAAAGTTTAGGGAACCCAATCCCCAAAAGGGAGCCCATCCCATGAGTGTGGTAGGTTTGAGGGTTTAGGGTTTAGGGTTTAGGGTTTAGGGCTTGTAGAGGGTTTGTGGGTTTAGGATGGGGTTAGGGTCTATAGAGGGTTTGTGGGGTTTAGGACTGAGGTAGGCGGCTTAGGGTTTACAAGGCTCTCCCAGGGAACCGAAACTAAGAAAAGTGCAAGAGGGTATACCAAGTTTAAAAAAGCTTCTGAAGCCCCTAAACCCTTAACCACCCTTAAACTGAAACCCCTATTAGACCCTATTAAACCCCCCCTTAAAACCCAGATACACCTCACTGAAAAATTCTCCTTGGCTCCCAGGTTCAGCAGCCGCGGCTTGGCGCGCCCGTGCTGGGCGCTGCTAGCCGCCTCGAGATAACCCAAAAGGTTGTGGATGAAGCCCTCGCTAAAGGCCATTGTCACCATCCAGATTGATGAGACTGTCTCCAGGCGATGGTCTGTGTCCACTTTCCTGTACTGTACGGCCATCGCGTGGCTCGTGTTCTTGGCGAAACTCATGGTGGGAACCGTTGGTTTCCTTGATATCGGCCATACCCAGAACCAGCCGCTCTCTTTGGGGTGGGCTTTCAAGCACAAACTAACACAGCAAAGCCAAAAACAAATCAACCGGAAACCCTCTGCTGGAAAACCTTAAGCGTCGATCTTAAATCAGTGACCTGCCCCTTATCCCAGGGGTGTAGGGCTTGAGGGCTTGTCGGTTTTGGGGCTCTTGAGGTTTAAGGCATGCATGCCCAAACCCTAAACCCTAAACCCTAAACCCTAAACCCTAAACCCTAAACCCTAAACCCTAAACCCTAAGCCCTAAGCCCTAAACCCTTAAACGGCTATAGTTTGCCTACGTCCCTTCAGAAGCCCCTGTGGGTGGGAGCGACCTTCGGGTGTGCGGGACTTGGGGCTTTAAAGATTTAGGGGCTTAGGGGCTCTGGGATTTAGGGTTTAGGGTTTAGGGTTTAGGGTTTAGGGTTTAGGGTTTAGGGTTTAGGGATTTAGGGATTTAGGGATTTAGGGTTTGGGGCAGCTTCCAGGGGCTATGGATATGTTTGTGCACTGGCACTACAAACCCTCTAAACCCCAAAAGCCCTGAAAACCCCAAAACTCCGCCAACCCTGCGAACCCTCTAAACTTCTAAACCCTAAGCTTCTAAACCCTAAACCCTAAACTCCATAAACTCCCTAAACTCCCTAAACTCCCTAAACTCCCTAAACTCCCTAAACCCCAAACCCACTGAACCCGCTCCGAGGCACCGTTTGTCCCGGAGGCCGCAGATCCACCACTACCTCGGTAGTAGTCCATGTCCATCTGGTCCTCAAAGTCTAGGGTTTAGGGTTTAGGGTTTAGGGTTTAGGGTTTAGGGTTTAGGGTTTAGGGTGTAGGGTTTGGGTTTTGGGGTTTAGGGTTTGGCTTTGTAGGGTTTTAGGCTGTGAGGGATTTGGGGTTTAGGGTGTTTGGGATGATTTATGTTAACCTATTTCGTGCACTTAGGCTACGCATAACCGCCCACCAATCTTCCTTTAGGTAGGGCTTAGGGCTTCTGGCTTTGTGGTTGAGGGTTGAAAACCCTAAACCCTAAACCCTAAACCCTAAACCCTAAACCCTAAACCCTAAACCCTAAACCCTAAACCCTAAATGCTGGAATTGGGCGCTCTGCGTCCGAGCTAGTTGCTGCTCTTCTTGTGCCTCCCCCTGACACCCTTCACCTAGACCCAGGAGTAACCTAGGAATGCCCTTTGTGGTTTTAAGGGGATTTTAAGGGAACCCCAACCCTAAAAAAACTGAAATAAGATGAAACCCCCAAATAGCAACAGCGCAGTCACAGGCCAACGACATGTTTGTCGTATGCATGCTCCTGGAAAAAAAGGCTTAGGACAATAAGGGTTCAATTAGGGTGTAGGTTTTGGGATTCAGGCATATCTTGGAAAAGCCTGCCCAGAAACCAGCACCCGGCGCAGCAAACAGCCCAAAACCCAACACCCAAAGCCCCCTAAACCCTAAACCCTCAACCCGACATGCCCAAAAACCCATTCTCCAGTAAACCCAGGGGTCCCTCTTCTCATCGTCGAACTGTCCCACCTCAGGGGGGGCAGACTCATAGGTGAAGAGCTTTGAAAGTCGGCAGAGGGCCCCAGGCCTGGTAGCGAAAGTTTGGGATGCCAAGGTTTTAGGGTTTACAGGGCGTTAGAACCCTGAAGAAGCGCTCCTGAAAAACCCAAAACCCCAAACCCTATACCCTAAACCCTAAACCCCAAACCCTAAACCTCAAACCCTAAACCCTATACCCCCTGCTCTCCGCGAGGCCTCGGCACCAATGGGGCCCTTGGCGAAGTAGCGCGATGGAAGCCGCATAGGCCTGGGGAGGAGTTTCGGGGGGCTTAGGGGTTGTTGGGGTAAGGTTTCGGGTTTAGGGTTTAGGGTTCAGGGTTTTGGGTTTAGGGTGGTTTAGGGTTGGGTTTAGGGTTTGCGGTTTGAGGTTTAGGGCTTTGGTGGGTCAAAGGTTTAGGCTTTAGGTCTTAGGGTTTCGGAGGGGGTCTAGGGTTTAGGGTTTAGGGTTTAGGGTTTAGGGTTTAGGGTTTAGGGTTTCGGTTGCTTTTAGGTGCTTGGGGTTTAGGGCTTAAAGGTGGGGGGGGGAATGGCTCAGGGTTTTGCAGGGAAAGAATGTGGCGCATTGCGACATCTTGAGGCTTGGGTTACTCCAATGTCTAGTCAAACCCACAATGAGCCAACTACACCTAACATAAAAGAATAAAGTTCGGTACCGCCAAAGCAAGGGAACCGCATGCGCCCAAAAAGGCTATGGACGGTTTTGGGAATGTCGGCCTACGAAGCAATACCGTAGCATACAAACCATAGAGCCCTGCAAGCCTTACAAGCCCGAAACCCATAACCTACAAACCTGAGAAGCCTAAAAAGCCTACAAGGGCTTGCCATAATTGGCTGACTGCATGGCTTGCTTCATAGCGGAGCGCGAAGGCTGCATGCGGTGCAAGATTGCTCGAGGGGATCGGGGAACCATAAAGCGCGGCAACCCTAAACCCTTAACCCCTTAACTAGGATGGCTCAGAGAGCCCTCTGAAACATATTCCTAAACATGATCCTCTTAAACCCAATCATGGAAAATCTAAAGGGTTTAGGGTTTAGGGCTTAGGGTTTAGGGTTTAGGGTCTACTTGGAGGTTCGTGGTACTTAATAAGCCATTGTATTGTAACTGTACTTAGAACCCAATTCTAAGCCCCTTAGCTACCCTGACATGGTTATAATTGGGTTTCATGTTCCGCTACCATTTGGTGACTAAGTACTATGAACCTCCAAGGGCTTACCCTACTTTGGAGTAGATCCCGGAAAGTATACGATTTTTTGGTACTCGTAGTAACCCAGAGCCAAAAAACACTGAAGTATGGTGCTCCAAAACCCAGTTTCGGGTTGACCTCAAAAAGACCCCTAAACCCTAAACCCTAAACCCTAAACCCTCAGGAGAAACTATCTGCAGCCCCGCAGGCTTGCTGAAGGTGATGTGGCACTGGCGGAGGTTTGAGAGGGGCCTCGGCTCATGAGCTCCAGGTTTAGGGTTTAGGGTTTAGGGTTTAGGGTTTAGGGTTTGGGGTTAAGGGTTTAGGGTTTGGGGTTAAGGGTTTAGGGTTTGGGGTGGGGCCTCTTTGAGGTCGTGGAAATCGAGCCTTCAAATTGGGGTTTTTGGACCCTGGAGTGTGGCGTAGAAGGCTTTCGGGGGTTGGGGGACTTTAACGTCGAGGGGCGGCAAGGAACCTGCGGCCCAGAAATTTCGTCCACGCTGGACGCTAGTCTCCTTAAGCCATAAGCCCCTAAACCCTAAACGCCAAACCCCCTAAACCCGAAACCCTAGACCCGAAACTCCCTAACCCTAAACCCTAAACCCCAAACCCTGCTGAGCAGTTTCTACAGCACCGGCTTAGGCTTCGAGGTTAGCCTTGCGGATGAGCCCTAACAACCCTAATCCCTAACCCTACACCCATTCCCCTAAACCCTAAACCCTACACCCTACACCCCTAGACCCTAAACCCTAAACCCTATTCCTGTAGGTTCGTAGGACACCACTGCATCCACGGCACCCCTCCACGACGAGCTCGTACTTCTTGTAGTGGCCAAGGAGGTTGACCCACCTGAGCACCCTCAGCTCTAAACCCTAAACCCTAACCCCTGAACCCGAAACCCTCAGCTCTAAACCCTAAACCCTAAGCCCTGAACCCGAAACCCTGAGCTCTAAGCCCTAGACCCTAAACCCCCAACTCTATACCCTCAACCCCAAACTCCCTCAACTCGGGAACCCACACGTAGGCTTCAGGGAGAGAACTGATCGCCTACCCCGGCCTTAGTTTACCTGCTGCTCTTGCAAAACTAAAAATTAAAGCACGAAAAGGCTTAGGAAAGCTGAGGGCCCCAAAACCCTACGCCAACACCTATGCCGGCGAGCGGCAGCGACGGTTGAGCGCGGAACTGCTTTCCCAAAACCTGGTCAGGGTCGAGGCTTGGACTTTAGGGTTTTAGGGTATTCCGCAAACCCTCGACAGATTTCAAGGATCTTGTATGCAATCGTGAAACCCCAACATGACTTGCAGCGTTTAGGGGTTGGGGTCCTCAATGGCCAACAGAGCTTCAAGGGTACCCTAAACCCGAAACCTAAAACCTAAAACCCTAAACCTTAAACCTTAAACCCTGAACCCTGAACCCTAAACCTTAAACCTTAAACCCTAAACCCTGAACCCTAAAGCCTCAACCCAGGTCAGGCCAGAGACTCTGTCGGGTAACACCTCAGCTTACGTCGAGCTCTTGTATGGGAACGTGTACCTGCCTTGGTGGAGCTTACATGCTTGAGCGTTTAGGGTTTAGGGTTTAACTTAAAGGTACCCCAAACCCGCTAAACACCAACCCTGAACCCACTGCCTTGGCGTTGCCGCAGATGATCAGTCCATACTTGGCTCGCGTCAGCGCCACGTTCAGGCGCCGCGGGTCGTTCAAAAACCTCGGCTCAGGCGGCTTAGTTTTTTTTTGGGGGGGAGGTTATATATAGCATTAGAGGGACCATAAGGGAATACTATTTGTAATTTGGGGGGGGGGGGGGGTATTATACTATGATTGTCCGCAGGAGTAACCTAGGAATAAAAAGGGTGCCCTGTTGGTCTTAAGGGGATTGTAAGGGATCCCCAAGCCTAAAAACAGAAATAAAGGCCTACTCCGGATCCTAGTAGGTATTGAGTAGCGCAAGCCCCACAAATTTGTAGCTGATACCGTCCAGTTTGCACATGACCCTCAAGCACTACCATAATACAAGGCCCCATTTGATGAGACTGGTATGCTGGGTCTTATTCATACTGAGATTCTGTGCGAACTCTAAGCGGCAAAAATGGTCATCTTGATGGTCCTAAATCCTAAACCCTAATCCCTAAACCCTAAACCCATAATACTGGCAATTCTGTGGGCTCCCGGCATTGTTTTTTGGCGGGGGGCAGATGTAGGTTCAGGGTTCAGGGTTTAGGGTCTAGGGTTTAGGAGTTTGGGGTTTAGGGTTTAGGGTGTAGGGTTTAGGGCCCAGAAGCAGTCCAAGTGTCACAGTACCTGTTTGACGACCCTAGAAACCCTGGATTTCGAACCTTAAAGCCGAAACCCTCGACCCTAAACCCTAAACCCCTAAAGCCCTAAAGCCACCTAAACCCCTAATCCCCTAAACCCTAACGTTTACGGTCTGGAGGTTCAAGCGAAAGGGTTTGCAAAGGAAACCCTGTGACGGATTTTAATTCGGGGAGTCGGATCCCACAGGTGCAAAGTTGAAGATTCTCAAAGACTTTAGGGGAAGTTTAGGGTTTAGGGTTTAGGGTTTAGGGTTTAGGGTTTGAAGTTTAGGGTTTAGGGTTTAGGGTTTGAAGCGTGGGGAGGGGGGTTCCGTAAAGTCAGGAAGGCTCCGTAGCTGTTGGGAGTCTCCTCTGGGTTCGGAGGTTTCTTCTGGGGCTAACTTACTAATTACTATTTGCTTAAGAAGCCCCAAAACACAGAAGGAAAATATAAAAATAATCCCAATGTTACCTTATAAGGAAGAATATTTTTTGGGGTGTTCTTAAGCAATTCGTCACTTAGGGTCCTGAAATCATGGCCATGTGGCCCGATTCCCTGGTTCTGATTCGATCGCACGCAGGAAAGGAGGATGAAATCCTGCGCGCCAGCAGTCGTGGCTCCACTTACCAGGGTGGGCTACTCGGCCTTAGAATGATTCTCATACTGAGCCCCATACACAAGGTGCCTTTTTGAGGGATTGATAGGGAAAAGTCGCCCATCCTGTGGTAGGGGGCGGTTTAAGCTTTAAGGGGCTAGAGCATCTATGCTTGGGCGTAGCATGTGTTCTGCCCAAGGATGGCGCTGAGAACCCTCTGAAAAACATCCTAAACGCTAAGCCCTAACCCTAAACCCTAAACCCTAGACCCTAAACCCTAAACCCTAACAAACCCAAAATAAGGGGAACATATCAAAATATCCCAAGGGTCTACCTAGTGCCACGGATCCGCAAGCATTTTTCGAGCTACCTGGCTCTCCTCCTGCGACCCTATTTAGCCCTAAGGAGGTTCTTATGGTTGAGGGTTTAGGGTTTAGGATATGTTGGTGGGGGGGGTGTAGGGTGCGGGGTTTAGGGTTTGGGGGTTTGGGGTTTCTCTAACGACTTTTGGGTTCGATCCAAAAGCCTATACGCTATTGAGATGTATAGTTCATACCATGAAAAGAATTGTAGGATTGATGAGGGCAGATATTGAGAATTAGGAATCCCTAAGCCCCATAAACCCTCAACCCTAAACCCTAAACCCCAAACCCTAAGCCCCAAGCCCAAAACCCTAGGGGTGTCGGGCACGGAAAGCCCCGCGACGCGATTGGGGTTTCCGAAAATAGGGGCTCATTGGGGATCCTACTTACAAGGGAGTCCACCCTAAACCCTAAACCCTAAACCCTAAACCCGAAACCCTAAACCTTAAACCCTACAATTTTGCGGGTCTAGATTAATCCCCTCCCCCATCCTCCCCCACCCTCCCCCTATCATTAAGTCCCCCGCCTAGCCCCCTAATATTGCATACCCCCCCTCCCCGCCACCCCAACTACTAGAATATAACCATTCTGGGTGGTATTCAATATTTGGGGGCTAGGGGGGTTTAGTATCTGGGGGAGGGGATTAGGGTGCTAGATGAAAACCGCAGCATGGACGGCCTTCTCTCGTCCCTGGAAGCTGTCTACGCTGGCGACCTCAATCTCCTCGTAGGCCTTCTTGCAGGGCTTAGGGCTTAGGGCCTAGGGCTTAGGGCTCATAGGGTTTAGGGTTTAGGGTTTAGGGTTCAGGGTTTAGGATTTAGGGTTTAGGGTTTAGGGTTGCTCTTCAGCACTGGGGGGGGGTGGGGGGTGGGGGGTGGGGGTGGAGAGGTCGGGTTCAGGGAATTCAGGTTTCTCGGGCTCAGGGTCCCTGCTTCAGTTCAACATCATGCGGAGAAGATACCTAACTATAGGGTATACTTGGGCTTCGGAGTAGACCCTACCCTAAATACCCTAAATGCCCTAAATACCCTAAATACCCTCAATACCCTAGATGCCTACATACCCTAAATACCCTAAATACTCGAAATACCCGAAATACCCCAAATACCCCAAATACCCTATATGCCCTGAATACCCTAAATACCCTCAACCCTCAACCCTAAACCCTCTCCCAATGTGGTGCCACGGTTTTGGCACATGGGCCCCTTGAGACAAAGACATGGGCAGGCGCACCCTGAGCCAGACTTAGACCAGTCGCACGGTCTAGGGTTTAGGGTTTAGGGTTTAGGGCCTACCCTGAGCCAGACTGAGACCCCCCGCCCCCCCAATTGCAGTGCCTGTTTTTGAGCTACCTGGTCTTCTCATCATCTTATCTTAGTACGAATCATGAGTTTGTATAGGTACATAAAAATAGAACTGCAAAATATTGGCGGTCTACTCCACAACCCAAAACACCAAACCCTAAACTCTGAACCCTGAACACCAAACCCTCAACCCTAAACCCTGAGCCGCCGAATTAACCCCCCAAAAACCTACTGGCCGCGAAAACCCAACTGAGGCCGGCCCTGAACATTATCCTAAGTATGATCACCTCACAGTCTATACACCCAAAATCACGGGGTTCAGGGCTTCGGGCTTAGGGTCTAGGGCGCAACCAGTACCCCTCAACCTCAAAGAGCCTGCCTTGTGGCTGAAGGTTGTCTGGCGCTGGAGCACCGCGCAGATGTACGCGCGCTGCCCCTCGTAGGGCGTGATGATGCCCACCTGCGACGAGGACGGGACCCGGGAGTTGAACCTAAGAAAAACAGGGTGCCCCTTTTTGGTCTCAAGGGGGCTTGAGAAGGGAGCCTAAGCCCTAATAAAAGGAATGAGGGCCTACTCTGGGTTAAACACCCCCCAAAAAAGGGGGGGAATAAGGCCCTACTCTAAGTCCTAGCGGATGGAGGCTGCCAGGGGTTTAGGGCTAAGGGTAGTTTAGGATTTAGGGACCTCACAAAGGCCAGAAGAAGACCCAAGACAGCTGCCTGGCACGGCTTCTTAGGAAGTATAGTACCCAAAACCCTAAACCCTAAACCCTAGGCCCTAAACCCTAGGCCCTAAACCCTAAACCCTGCCTGGTACGGTTTCACACCCGCTTTCAGGAAGTAGGTGACCAGCTTCTCGATGTTTGTTGCCTCGCGGCGGGAGACGTTTCTTTTTGGGGTGTGGTGGGTGTTTCTAACCCTAAACCCTGAAGCCCTAAACCCTAAACCCTAAAGTTTAGAAATTCTGGAGTGCGGCGTTTAGGGACTCTGGGGGTTATAGGGGTTTGAGGGTTGTAGGACGCCAAGCCCTCTCAGATTTGCCGCCTGGAATACCACCCTTTTCAGTATCAAATAGAATTAACATACATATGAAATTATCCCAAGGGCAGCTGTCTCAAACTCTAGGGGTCTAGGTCTTGGTCGCATCTCGAACATATGGTCCCTTGTGAGGTTGCGATTACCGAATTGCTGAGCACCCTGGGCCAAACAAGGTTAATTCAGACTCAGTTTTGGTAGGGCTGTATATACCCCCAAAATGGTTGAAGGTTACCTACTCAGCTACGAAGAAGATATGGCGGCCCCAGTATTTAGGGTACCCAATAAGGGGACCATAGATTAGAGAACTCACCTATTACGCCGAAGCAATGGGGTGGAGGGTACAGGGTCCCAGCTGTAAACCCTCAACCCTCAACCCTGAACCCTAAACCCTGAACCCTAAACCCTCAACCCTCAACCCTCAACCCTGAACCCCAAACCCTAAACCCTCAACCCTAAACCCCAAACCCTAAACCCCAAACCCTAAACCCTAAAAGCCCTAAGGGGTGGCGCCTCCGTCCGGTTGAGGTAGGACGTGCCGGAGGCTGAGATCTCCTCTGCTCCCGTGGAGTTCAGGAAGAACCTGGGCAGGTGAGGGTTTAGGGTTTAGGGTTTAGGGTTTAGGGTATAGGGTTTAGGGTTTAGGGCTTAGGGTTTATGGACTAGGGTTTAGGCATTTTTCCACTAAACCCTTCTAGGTTGAAAACAAGAGCATAACAAGGGAAGGTATCTAATCGTGGTAACCCCTCAAAAGGGGAATAGGGGCACTGGACATTCGGGAATTCTTCCTTTCGTTTTGTGCGGCAACTGGACAGGATTGTAGAACAGGCCCCTTAAGGCCTACACCTAAACCCTACACCCTACCCAGAAAAGCAACGATGAAGGGACCCCTGCAGGATACGAGGGCCTTCTTGAGGCATATTTAGCTGTTGCTATAAACCATACTTGTTCCCTAGATCAACCATGACATGGTTGATTTAGATATTGTAGGTTCCCTTTTAGAAAGGATTGGTTTTGGGAGTGCTTAGGTTTCAGGGTATTTAAGCCAAATGGCATGCAAGGCCGAAAGTGCCTGTAGTGAGGAGACGGCCTAAACCCTAGATCCTGAAGCCATGGATCTTTGTAGGTACGGGAAAGGCCTTGGTCACTGAATTTCTTGACCCCCACGAGGAATGCGCCAATCCTTCCGAGATACAAAACCCTCACATCTTAAGCCCCAAGCCCTACACACCCTGACATCTTAAGCCCGAAAGCCCTGAAGCCCGAAATCACTACTTCACCCGCCCCAAGCCGTAAACCCAAAGCACCGAAACTCAGACCTCTAAAGGCCCTAAGCCCCAAACCCCTGCAGCCCGAAAACCCAACACCCAAAACCCTAAGCCCCGAACGCTCAAATCTTAAAGCCCTAAAACCCCAAACGCGACAACCTAAAAATAGAAAAAACATTTCTGACACCCCCCCACCCTGAAGCCCTCAGCCCTCAGCCCTCAGCCCTAAGCCCTAAGCCCTAAACCCTAAACCCTAAACCCTAATCTGGGACGGGGTGGCATTGGCATGTCTGGCCGGGGCCACGGGAACTCGATGCCGGTGTAGAGGCGCTCCTTGGCCGGGTTACAGTAAACCCCAGAAAGTTGCAACATCCTTACCCAGAGGGTCCATGTGTATTACTATTATGGATTTAGGTACCCAAAAACCATACTAAACAAGGCTTTGGGGTTCCTTAATAGTATTACAAATGGACCCTCCGGGTTATCCCCATACGCCAAAAGGTATACTGAAGGGAATCCCAGCTCTAACCATCCCCGGAGGGTCCATTTGCAGTACTATTATGGACTTAGGTACCCCAAAACCTTGTTTGGTATGGTTTTTTGGGGTACCTAAATCCAGAATAGTAATACAAATGGACCCCCTGGGATCCTTCAACCATGTTCCAACTTTCTGGAGTTTTCTGTAGGTCGGGCCTGGGCCTTTTTTGAGCCCGGGGCCGTACTTGACTCTTAGAGTCAAGGGGGACATACTAGGACCCCTGAGGATGTACCCCCTAAGAGGCTTTCCTTAGTAGTCTCTAAACCCTAAGCCCTAAGCCCTAAGCCCTAAGCCCTAAACCCTAAACCCTAAACCCTAAACCCTAAACCCTAAACCCTAAACCCTTCTATTCCCTCAGAGAGGATCCTTCAGAAGGGTCCCCAAAACGCAGGGGCACAACTGTTCGGGGCCGAAGGTAGAGTCCCATGATACAGCTCTACAGAGCTTGGAGCCCTAGCAAAAATCATCATCTTAGCTGTTTCTTAGGAATTCTCAAGTACCCAATAATTCACTACTTCCAAGCATCCCTAAGACAACGGAAGTCTGGCATAGGATACAATATATAGGACCCGGCTCCTCCCCAAACCCTAAACCCTAAACCGCTTCTGGGTGAACCCCAAACTCCAGTCTGTGCCTTGACGGCTGCTGTATAACTGGCTGGTTCTTCGTAGGGAATGAGGGAATGAGGTACCCCATATAATCGGGGGATAAGGCCTTGCTACTGCCCCGGGCTTCGGGGCTTTTGAGCTTTTTAAGGCTTTTTCAGCAGCTTGCAACTAGCTGTGACCGTCATTGATGCCAAAGCCGCATTCAGGGTGACACCGTTCTGCAGCGAGCCGTCGTAGAAGGATTGCGAAGGGAACTCCGAAAGACACGGATGCATACGGTATTGCACCTCGCATGCGGGGAAAACCTACACCCTATAAACCCAACATGTTAGCATTGCCGAATTGAACTGTGCGCATTTGGGTTGTATTGGGTATATAAGGCGTATGTAAGGGGTCCCCATGCCCATATTCACGGATAAGAGCCGATTTTCATGTTGAGGCCTTGGGATTGTTTGGGGTTTAGGGTTTGGGGTTTAGGGTGTAGGGTTTGGGTATAGGGTTTAGGGTTTAGGGTTTAGGGCTTAGAGCTCAGCATTTTCAGAATACATTCTATTGGGCTCTCTGGGTCTAGGCTTCGCTGCGCCATAACCCTAAGCGCCTTGTTTAGGGTTCAGTCATGATAACCCTAAACCCTAAACCCTAAACCCTAAACCATGAACCCTAAACCATGAACCCTACAAACCCTATAAACATCCATGGCTCGGGGCCTAGAGGCAACCCGTGAAGGACAACTCCCAATACCAAGCAAGCAAGAAATGGGAGGTTTAGGAAAGGGGGTTTAAGTGTTAGGGCTTCGGGTTTAGGGTTCAGGGTCCAGGGTTGAGGGTTTAGGGTTTAGGGTACGGGGGCTTAGGGTAGTGTACGAAATTCTCAAGGATCATTCAAGCCCTTCAGGGGAGGAACGGCTCTGGGCTCTCCGGGTTTAGGGTTTAGGGTTTAGGGTTTCGGGTTTTGGGTTTAGGGTTTAGGGTTTAGGGTTTAGGGGGCTCTGGGCTCTCCGGGGGGCCTCAAGACGGACCGGCCGTATCCCCAGGAAGATCAGGCGCTCCTGGTCGGGTGTTTAGGGCTGCTAGGGTTTAGGGTTTAGGGTTTAGGGTTTAGGGCTTAGGGCTTAGGGTTTAGGGTTCAGGGTTTAGGGTTCAGGGTTTAGGGTTTGGCTTCGAGGGTGTAGGGGTTAGCACAGGGCTTCTAGGGTTTAGTTCAGGGCTTGTGGGTCGGGTTGAACGGTACCCTAAACCCTAAACCCTAGGGATTGGGTTCACCTGCAGCTCGACTTGCCTATACAGTGGAGCGGTCAAAGTTGAGGGTTTAGGGTTGAAGGTGCCTGTGCCCTAAACCCTGAACCCTAAACCCTAAACGCCAGAGGGTTCAGGGTGTAGGGCTTGGGTTTAGGATTTAGGGTTTAGGGTTCAGGGTCGAGGGCTTGGAGTTCAGGGTTTGGGGTTTGGGGTTTAGGGTTCCCTGAACCCTGAAACACAAAAATCCAGCCCATGAGTCCCTCACTTCGAACGCCGAGGGGCGAAGAGGCTCTGATGCAAGCCTGCCTTCGCGGCCTTCTTGCACCTTTGATCGTGACAGAACAGGGTTTAGGGTTTAGGGATTAGGGCTTAGGGTTTAGGGTTTAGGGTTCAGGGTTCAGGGTTCAGGGTTCAGGGTTCAGGGTTCAGGGTTTAGGGTTTAGGGTTTAGGGCTTGGGGTGGTCTAGGGCTTAGGGTTTGGAGTTTGGGCGGTTTAGGGTAGGAGTTCCACACAGCAAACTGGGCATGCAAAGGGCAACCCTATGTTTGTTTAAGGGGGGGAACATGTGCCCTGCGAACCCTTCATAAACCACAAAAGAAGTACAAGCCCTACTAAGCACCCTACTCCGCTAAACAAAACCCTGAAAACCAGATAAGCCCGAAACTGAAACCGAGGCCTTGAACCCGAACATTGAAAATGAGGGTACCATCTCTGCTCCATCGACCGCGTGGATCATTGGAAGGTGTCAGGCTGCTTGGAGTTTAGGGTTTAGGGTTTAGGGTTTAGGGTTTAGGGTTTAGGGTTTAGGGTTTAGGGTTTAGGGGGGGGGGGTTGATCGTGAGAAGCCGCAGGGCTTGGACGTTTAGGACCTGGAAATAGGGCTGACACTGTGTTTGTCTCTGACACGCCCATGGCTCATTTTTGTGGCAACTCCTCACAATCAACCCTATGAAACCTATGAACCCTCTACACCCCCTAGACCCTATAAACCACAAATCCCAAACCCTGTGAACCCTATGAACCCTAAACCCTAAACCCTAACCGATTCTACGTGAAGGTCGGGATACAGGGGCTTAGGATTGATGTAGCGGAAGGCACAGGAGCCCTAAAGAATTCCAGGGCCCAAGGTGAACCTCTTCCAATCTCACCCCGGGGTTAGGGTTTAGGGTTTAGGGTGTAGGGTTTAGGGTTTAGGGTTTGGGGTTTAGGGTTCAGGGTTCAGGGTTCAGGGTTTAGGTTTAGGGTTTAGGGTTTAGGGTTTAGGGTTTAGGGTTTAGGGTTTAGGGTTTAGGGTTTAGGGTTTAGGGTTTAGGGTTTAGGGTTTAGGGTTTAGGTTTGGGGTTTAGGGTTTAGGTCTCAGGCTCCGAGGCGCATGATGACGGGCCCCAGCTGACAGTGGTCTCCCACCAGGACCATCTGCTTTGCCTCGAGCGAGAGAGCGCTTTTGGGTTTAGGGTTTAGGGTTTCAGGCTCCGAAGACTCTTAACCCTAAGCCCTGATCTCTGAAACCTAGACCCCCAAGCCCTAAACCCTGAACCCCATGAACCCTATAATATGAAACCTCACCCCTGAACACCAAATATCCAAGCACCAAAGCCCTATGAACACTGCAGGCTCTGTGAACCCTACGAGCCGCTTCATAAACCCTGGAACCCTAAACCCTAAACCCTAACCCTAACCCTAAGCCCTAAACCCTAAACCCTAAACCGAACTCTTTGACTCACATTAATAAAACAAGCCTCGGCATGCCGCAAAGCTTGCGCGGTCCACTGTCTGAAGCCCTAAACCCTAAACCCTAAGCCCTAAACCCTAAACCCTAAACCCTAAAACTTAACTCCGCCAACCCTGGTCCACTTAAGCCTTGTAGGTTCAGGGTTTAGGGTTTAGGTTTGAAGGGGTTAGGGTTTAGGGCTAGAATTCAACTCTCCAAGCTTCCCAACGAACTGTAGGGTTAAAATCTGCCGCCAGGGGGACGCCCATCATGATGGGAATCAGGCACTCAGGCTCTGCGGCCTGACAACACACTATAAGGTTTTTAAGGGAGGGGGGTTCAAGGGGGGTTTAGGGTTTAGGGTTTAGGGTTTAGGGTTTAGGGTTTAGGGTTTAGGGTTTAGGGGTATGTAACCCAAGGTCCCCCCGAAAAATTCCCCCCCACTACTGGCTAAGGCTCCCGAAGCTTCCCTGAGCTTCCCTAGGTACCTACCCCCCATGACCCCCCCCCCCCTTCCTTAAGGTCTTCATAATGAGAATGCACCTTACTTTCCGACTCTGTTGTTGTCTAAACCCTAAAGCCCCTGCTAGCCCTGATAACATAAACCCTAGACTGCATGCGCCCTTAGAACCATGTTTGCGGCGGTGGGGGCCCCCCAGACAAGGCAAGATCGCTGCAAGACTGGACCCAGGAGCATCCAAGGGAAACAAGGTGCAATTTTGGTTTTTAAAGGGGCTGATACGGGAGGCTAAGCCCTAACAAAGGGGGAAGTAAGGGCCTACTCTGGGTCCTAGCCCTAAACCCGAGATCCTAAACCCTCAACAGCAAGTGGAACAAGGGCCACCTCTGGGACCTAGAAGAGCACTTGGTTTCAAAAGCAGCACTCCCAGATGACAAGCCCAGAACCCTAAACAGGGTCGTCAGACTTTTGCCTGAACTCGGGCTTAGCGCTTAGGAGGCGTAGGAACTAAAAGAGCCCCTAAACTAAACCCTAAACCCCCAAAGCCACTAACTTGGTCGCCCCGTATCCCTACTCTAGTAAGGACACCCCTTCTTGGCCCCTTCTTGGGTTGGTTACTGTATAAGGGAACCTTGAATCTTGAACGAAAAAAAGGTAAAGGGTACCACTGGGCGACCAAGATAAATCAACCACAGTCCAGCTCCATAGCAGCTGGATCAGGGGCTTACGGGTTTAGGGTTTAGGGTTTAGGGTCCATCTAGGTCCAAGAGCAACCGGGGAAAGTAAACAAAAGGGGTGAGGCTGTGGGGTTTGGGGGTTTGGGGTTTAAGGGTTTAAGGTTTTAACCGTTTAAGTGTTCAAGGATGCTTTAAGGGTTTGGGGCTTAAGGTAGGGTTTAGAGGTTTGGGGCTAAGCCCTCAAAACGTACGCTGAGCCTCGACCCCACGTACACCCTCCACACCCTGAAACCTTCGGCTGGCCGCGAAAATCACGCGTGGTTTCGGGCTTAGGGCTAAATATGATCCTCTTAAACCCAAGAAGGTCAAAGAACCTTCAGCTTAGCAGGTAAACCCCTTACCCCACACCCCAAACCCTAAACCCCAAACCCCAAACCCTAAACTCCCTAAACCCTCCCTATACCCTAAACCCTAAACTTAACCCTAAACCCCCAAACCCCAAACCCTAAACCCCATAACCCCCAACCCCCAAACCCCAAACCCCTAAACCCAAACCCTAAACCCCAAACCCTAAACCCCAAACCCCAAACAGGAGTCCAGACCTGTGTGGACTCATCCACCAGCACCTGCTTGAAGCGGAAGTTTTGCAATCGGGGATCTCCTGCACCGACCTGGGCGTTCGGGTTTGTAGGGCTTATAAGGCTTAGGGCTTATAGGGCTCGTAGGGCTTATATAGGGCTTATGGGGCTTATAGGGCTTATAGGGGTTTAGGGTTAGGGTTTAGGGCTTGGGGCTTATAGGGTTTAGGGTTTAGGGCTTGGGGCTTTAGGGTTTGGGGATCTCCTGCACCGACCCGGGTGTTAGGTGTTGGGGTGGCATTTGGGATTTTAGGGTGTTAGGGTTTTAGGGTTTAGGGTTTGGGGTGCTAGGGTTTATAGGCCTTTCTGGTTTATTAGGGTGCTTGCGGCTTTGGGATTTTGTTTGACTTGGAGTGGCGTATGAACTAGCTCCGAGGAAGTCATGTACCCTGAGCCGCGAGGGCTGTCTGAAGTCGCGGCAGTGCGCATCGCGTCCCTGGAGCTCCCAGGTGTTCATCTTCCCAAGAGGGTCCATTTGTAATACTATTATGGAATTAGGTACCCAAAACCTTGTTTGGTATGGTTTTTGGGGTACCTAAATCCATAATAGTAATACAAATGGACCCTCTGGGTTCTTCCCTGCACAGTTTAGGGCCATTCGAGCTCCTTTCGCAGGCGGTTTCCAAGTCCGCCTCAAATTTCGGAGTCCGCGTGACCAATGTCTTCGGGATCGAAAGGAGGTGACCCAGTCCATTTGTATTACTATTCTGGATTTAGGTACCCAAAAACCATACTAAACAAGGTTTTGGGTACCTAATTCCTTAATAGTATTACAAATGGACCCTCCGGGTTATCCCCATACGCCACAAGGTATACTGAAGGGAATCCCAGCTCTAATTCCATAATAGTATTACACATGGACCCTCTGGGAAGGAGATGAGATCTCTGAGTCTTCCGATCCACTGGAGGCCAGGTCCACGAAGTTTAGGGCTTAGAGACCTTTTTTCCGGCTTTTGGGTTGTTGGTTTCGGATCTTTAGCGACGCTAAACCCTAAACCCCAAACCCTAAACCCTAAGCCCTAAACCCTAGACCCTTTGCGGCTGTTGGGTGGAATGATAGGAAGTGTTGAATGAGACTTGGGTATCGGTTCTTTCGGCTTTTTGAACAACGGCTACTGAGAGTCTAGGTTCGCAGTTGAGGGCTTCGGGTTTAGGGCTTAGGGTTTGGGGTCTAGGGTCGAGGGTTTCGGGTTTAGTGTTATATTTTGTGGGGTTAGCCTTCACATTGCTTCTGCTGTAGGGGGTTTTGGGTATCCTGTATCTGGGGTTGGAGGTTCTGTCGGGGCTGCTGAAGACGACAAATCCGAAATCCACAAAGGCCCAGCACACGCTGGGGCTCTCACAAGACTTGTCCGATTCAGGGTTTAGGGTTTAGGGTTCAGGGCTGAGGGGGTTGGGATGTTTAGGGTACGGATGATGGTGCTGAGGAACAGAACGGCCAATGCAGGGGGTCCTTCAGTTCTTGAACCCTCTTATGAATTCTGATGCTGCTCGGCAGTGCCATAATCAAGATATGTGTAACTCTTCCCTCGGTTTTTTTAGTTTACATGGGTTTAGGGTTTAGGGTTTAGGGATTAGGGTTTGGGGTTTAGGGTTTAGGGCGCCTCGAGAGGTTTGGCGTGCAGGGCAAGATGCACAAGTGGTGCAGATCACGTCCGCGGCCGTGAGCAGCTCGCGCTCAGTGGAGTTTTGCAGCTGCTTGAACCTTGCCAGGACAAGGGTTTAGGGTTTAGGGTTGAGGGTTGAGGGTTGAGGATTGAGGATTGAGGGTTGAGGATTGAGGGTTGAAGTAGGGCTTAGGGTGCATTTCTGGCACCTTATATACAGGATCTTGGGGGGGGGTAGTTACATGGTCCCTTGGCACCCTATACAACCTAAGGGCCGATACGTCAGAACCCTTTAAAGAAGGCATGAGATAGGGTTTAGGGTTTAGGGTTTAGGGTTTAGGGTTTAGGGTTTAGGGTTTAGGGTTTAGGGTTTAGGGTTTAGGATGTCAATGAGGGCCCGTATGACTACCTGCCTGTGAACATGGAAAGCTAACTCCCCTTAGAGCCGACGGTACACCTCGACAAAGACCTATTCTCCAACAAAAACCACACCTGCCTTTCCCAACGACCTACTACGCTATACATGCAATCTATCTATCTATCTATCTATCTGTACGTATGAAACTCACCTACAGACTTCAAACCCCAACACTTTGGGAGGAGATATGCTCGAAGCAATTATGGGGATGATGTTTATGAATTGGGTATGTCAATTTCGACAAAAAAAAGAGGTCATCATCACATGATAGTCAAAGAGTCAGGGTTCAAGGAAGGAATGATCACGCCGCGAATCACGCCTATACCTATATAGGAACCACAACTCCCGTTCTTTCCGGCGCCGTATTCCAGCAGCACCAGTGCAATCCTCGCGTGGCCCCGTTTCGATGCATGCGCGAGCGCGGTCGTGTCGTACCTGTCCTGCAACTTCTCGTCGGCTCCAAGGTCCAGCAGCAATTCGACCATGGCAAAGTGGCCTTCTAGAGATGCGTACATGAGAGCGGATCTGCCAAGCTGGTCCTGCAAGTCCTTGTCGGCACCAGCGTTCAGCAGCAACCGCGCAATCTCAGCGCGGCCCTTGGAAGCTGCGTGCATGAGAGCGGTCTTGCGCGACCCGTCCGGCAAGTTCGTGTCCGCACCAGCTTCTAGCAGCAGGCGTGTGGTCTCCACCTGGCCCTGATTCGACGCTTGCACCAGTGCAGTTGTGTTGTACTTGTCCTGCAAGTTCTTGTCGGCGCCAGCTTTCAGCAGCAAGCGTACAATCTCAACGTGACCTCGGGAAGCGGCGTACATCAGAGAAGTCATGCCGGACCGGTCCTGCAAATTCGCGTCGGCACCAGCTTCCAGCAGCAAGCGCGCAATCTCAACGTGGCCTTCGGACGATGC